AAAAAAAATTAGATAAGCTAAAAATAGAAAACAAAAAGTCAGTTTTGCTGCAAGTGTGAAATTTTTGGCATGTGGCTTAGAAGAAATTAGCTTCAGTTTCATTTGTAAATTTTTACTTTCTGTGGCAGAGGGACGTGAAGAGCAAGCAGGGCCAGGGGGTGAAGGAAAAGGAGTTCTGGTCTATAATCGTGTGCAGATCACTTTACCCCGGCTCAGGATGTGTCCACATGCAGTGTGAGGGAACTGCTCAAAGTCCTCTCTGAATTACGTTCTGGTTTTAAAGGTAGTGGTTCTGATTTCACATTGTTTTGGTTCTTGGGATAATAGTGAGGCTAATGCAAGTGAAAGTTTTCTTAGGTCAAATTTTAATTCTTTATATAGTAGCCAACGAAGTCGGGTTCATTGCACCTTTCTCAAATAGAGGACAAAATCCTCCAAAGAGATACTCCACTCTGCTTGCCCTCCCGTCCTTGGCTCCATGTGGTGGGCACCTGAACCCAATGCAGACACCCCTCTTAATGATTACAAGTCTTATAGCTAGTTAAGCCCGAGTTGAAGTTGACTTTATAAAAATAGCTGCAGAGTGGGTTTTTTTTCTTTTCCAGTCTTCACATGGTTGTGGAATCTCCATGCAGAGGTAGAATAATCTTCCCTAGGACTACGAAATATTTTTTAAACCTGTTCCCTGCCCAGCTGCTACATAGGGCTTTCCTGTTACACCTGCGGGCTGCCTGTGCTGGTGTGTGGGAGGAGGTGGACTCCAGCAAGGCATGGTGTTCTGGGCCATTCCGAGAGGTTCAGGCCTTTACAAGCAAGGCTTTGATTCTATTTTTTGCTGAACTAGCTCAGCCACTTCCTGTGTTTGGCTGCGCATAGTGCCTCGCTTCACTGTGGCCACTTGAGCCCTGCGAGCCAGCTAGCGCGCCGCCGCAGCCAGCGAGAGACTATTTTAGGTCCCCGCACAATGGCCTTCTCATTTCCTCGCTGAAAATGAGCGAGTTGGGCTGGCATTGGCCACTTGTTAGCAGATGACAACTTTGACTTTGACTTGGGCTCTCCTCCCCTCCCCGAAATCCCTAGCTCAGCAAATATTTGAACCTGCCCAAGTTAATCATGAAGCCGCGATCTTTATCTAAGAGCGCCTTGCGAGCACCCGGGCCGGTTCCCTCCCCAGCTCTGTCCGCACGGCCAGCGGCTGTCTCCGCGGGGAGCCGGCCGTGAGGGCGCAGCTGGGCTGCGAGGGCGCAGCTGGGGCCGCGCTCCCGCTGTCTCCGGGGGTCCCGAGAGGTGGCAGGGCGCGAGCACCTCCTGCCGCCGGAGCCGTGGGGGGAGACGCGGGGGCTGGGCTGGTTGCTGGAAGAATAGCTTTTTGGATTTTTTTTTTTCATTGTCGGATACAGGCATTCAAAGAGAAACCGTTGAAATGCATAACCTGCAAAGTAAGTTGCTTTCAATTTGTGCACGTCTCTGCCCCTTCGCTCTTGCACTGGGGTTTTTGGTGAGGCTTGGGGCGGGGGGTGTACTTCTGTGAAAGGTTCCTATGTGTGAGTGAGTGAGTGAGAGAAGAGATTAGGCACTCCCTGGGGAGGGCAGATGGCAGATTAGGGGAGATAGCTACTCCCCCTTTCCTCGAGGGGCACAGCGTGAGGGAAAGATGGACTTGGGTTGGAAATGGGGAAGGAGGTAATTACAGAGTGCTTGACTGGAAGTTGGTGCCAGGCCAGGCGGGAGAGACGTGGAAAATCACCTGTCTCCCTGCCCTCCTCTTAGGTCCCGGTGCCACATGGGCTCCAGCAGCAGGACTGACTTGCACCGAGCGCTCCCAGGCACCGGGTGGCCCTCTGTTGGAGGCTCCACAGCTTCCCAGAGAATTTCTCTCCCTTCCTTGGGGGCTGGGGGGATCAATATTTTTATTAAACTGATAGATTTCTTTCTGAATCTTATTTGAGGGCACCCTCCACCACCAACACTTTAACCATTTTTATTTAAATTTGAATTTAGGTTTACTTAAACCTTTAGGCAAATAGAAAAGTGAGTGGGAGAGGGTGGGAGGGTATAGACCAAGTCTGCCTTCATGGTTAATGGGAAAATGAATTAAACTAGAGAGAGGTTCAAGTGGACAGTGCTCAGAGAATGGCCTGCCTTTGCTCTGCTATTTTATGATTCCAAAATTGTAGAAAGTCTCAGAGTACATTTTTTGGGTTTCTGTGCTCTTTAAACCCTCATACAAATACTTAATGTAGATCACAAAGCCCACTATAGTTTTTTAAATCAGCCACATTTACATGGGAGGGGGCACCTTTTCCCCCTCTTCTCCCCTCTCATCATAAAGAGAAACCATTTCACAAGGGGAATGTACCTTAGGCTCCTGTAAGAGCAGCAGGATTATATGCAGAACAGCTTTAAAGAACAAAGATTAATAATTAGGTTTATAGGGAAATTGATTTCTCTACATTAAATACTGCTAAGAAGGAATACTAATATTCATCCTCCATGTGAGGCATTTGACATAGAGAGGATAAAAGCCCCCCGAAAATGATTACGTCACCCCCACCTCCACCCCAAGCAGTATTAGCACAATAAACCTGAGGATGGGTTCACTAGTGAGAAATACTTTGCCAGGATAACTGTACCCCTCCTCTGGATATATATATGAACAGCTTACCTTGACCAGTCTTGTTAGACAGTAACATTAAAATTCTCTGCAGTGTCGACGGTTATGTTGATTATTTCTAACAGACCTCTTCATTCCTGTTAAGAATCTTCAATGTTAGTTGCAGTTTTGACTTTGCAATGTTTAGTAGAGGAGGAGATTTTTGCCTGTATATTTCCTTTTAATTGCGCTTTCTAATGTGGTACATTTGTGACAGTGTTTTAAGTTCTGAGTTTTCAGTGAATTATGTAGGACTGAAATTAAATATCCAGAGTCTCCTTTCTGCTTTTAATATATATGGGAGGTGTTGAACTGTGACATATACATTAAATATGCCATTCTGATGCATCTGTAAGATTTTGAAACCAAGGAATGATCGGACTATCTAAAAACCCAGATGCACTAGGGGGAGAAAGCTACGTGCCGCAGCATATCAGCTTTTGTCAACCTGCCAACGGCGGAGCGTACCAAGCTGCAAGGAGTAATAAAAAAGGAATTAGAAAACTCACTGCTAGAGGAGAACAGTCAAATTAAACACCTTTTGAAATGATGAGCATGTATATGTTGCAGTTCTATTAAATGTAGGTTCTTAGCGAGGTTGGGATTGTGCTAAGGCTGGTGTAGAAGAGAAATGATGAAGCAGGAGTGGTCTGGTGACATTTTTCTGACTTGATTGGCTGAGGTGTGTGATGTAATAGGTTACAGTGCAGCCCCTTATAGGTTTTAAAATGAATTCCAAGGCACCATTACAAAGAAAGCCGGACTCTTTTCTTATAACTGAGCTCAGCCAAGGAAACTCTCGCACAAATGTACAACACTGTTTGGAATATGGAAGACCTGGATTTAGAATATGCTAAGACAGATATAAATTGTGGCACAGACTTGATGTTTTATATAGAAATGGATCCACCAGGTAATACTGCAGTATTCTTATAGAAAGCTAGTTAATTTTGTGGCATTTTATTATTATTATTTTTTGACAACTCCTATAACAGAGCCGCTTTAGATTTCTATTTTTATTCATTTGTTCTAATTTAATAAGAATTAGTTTGATCATGTCTTGAAAATGAAACAAATTGCCTGCCTGTGGAAGCAAGCAGGTCAGGTTGTATGTGATAAATGCCTATTCTTACTTGAATGGATATGAACGGAATGCCAGTTTTTCACTGGTGTCTTTTGTTAAGATCTTTTGCTATTTGAGTTACATTGTTGTATATTGTTCCTTTAATTAAAGTGATGCCTCCTTTGTGCTGCTTTTCTCTGTTGACAGTGGAAGAGAACAGGGTGATACTTTGCAGGGATAACACTTGGTATTTTAGAAAGCGTGTAAAATGTAGCAACGATTGCAACTCAGTTCTAGACACCCTGAAACTGCTAGATCAAATGTTGAGACTTTGCCTCCTCTCTCTGATATTAAGATACTATAATGAGAAAATAAGTTGGCTCTCCATTCCTTAGTCCTAGTCTTTCTAAAATATTCTTGATAGACTCCTGAAATAATTTTTATAAAAATTAAAATAGTAACTGTGCTTTAAAACTTATGACTTAGAATTTAGCTAAAAATCCTACATTTATTTTGCTTTCTAAATGATTTTATCCCTGTGTTAGCCCACTTCCCAATTAAGAAATTTCAGAAACACTGCAGCCTTTCATTTGTCACCAGTTGGTTTATGAATACTGATTTGACATTGAGGAAGAGGAATATGGTTTTTAATCAGTCGGCATATAGAACATGATTTCTCCAATAGAATATTAACACAAACACTGAGGAGATTCAGGTCACAGATGAGTTTCTTAAAGTGGCTTTTGGCAGAACAGTGCCTGAAATAGTAAGATTAGAAAAACCTCGTTCTCCTCCTAAAACATACTGCTGTAGATGGGCTTCGTTACCACAGCATTTGTGGAGGGCAGAAACTGAGTTTGTCTCTGATTATTAAATAAGAGGAGGAAATTGAAGCCAACCCGTGTGATTTTCCTGCTCATCTGTGCATGGTTTCTGACTTTAGCTGGATTTGACCAGGCATGAAACTTAAATATAAGTAGAACCTAGAAGTAGAAAATAGCCCGATTCTGGATTTACTCTGAAATTCATTCAAGTGGCTAGCCCGGTTCATTTGTTAGTCTCTCAGCTGTTCTCTTTTTCAGTTTCTTTTCTCTTTGAGCCATACTCAGCAAGATTTGTGGTTTTTTTGTTTGTTTGTTTATTTTTAAATAAAACTGTTTCACGGAAATCTGAATGATTGCTGTGTTTCACACTCTACTTTTACCTAAAGAAATTGCATCTAATTTAAAATGTTTCATTGTAGTTGGGTTTGCAAACAACTTTCTCTTTCTCCTTCATCTTCAGCACTGCCTCCTAAACCACCGAAACCCACTACTGTAGCCAACAACGGTATGAATAACAATATGTCCTTACAAGATGCTGAATGGTACTGGGGAGATATCTCGAGGTAAGCCTACAGAAAGGCTTAGTTTCCACTAGAGATAGAGAGTTTTAGGTTGAGAGAAAGAAAAGCACCAGCTTGCTAAGTTCCGGTTTTAGGATATCATCCAACATAAGCACTGAAGCATTGTTGGTCCTCTTCCAAAGACGACCGGAGGAGTCACTGAGCCACTGGAGGACTGTGGGTGCTGGATGCCACAGGAAATTAAACACCCGAGAAGTTCAGTATTGACAGAGATGGCAGGGAAGCCCCAGAGTGAGTGACACCGCTCACAGGCAGCGTGCAGTCACGCCCTGTCAAAGAATTCATACTGTCATCTTCACGTAACGAGATAAAGTGGCCTTTTTAGTCTTTGCTTTTGTTAAGGGGGGTGAGGAGTTGGGAGGAAACCTTTTTGGGGTCATGACTTGCTTTGCTGATTTGTTAACAAGTTTGCTTAAAAAATAAAACGTTGTACCACAGTTATACGAATAGTGAAAGTAGACATTTTTTTTTAAACTCCCATGCACCTGTCTATAATGAGATGGGGGTTGTAACTTTCTTTTGTATAAACAAAGAATAAATTGTTAAGCTCTGAAAATGGAATTAATAAGTGTAAATCTGTAGGGGCAGAGAATACAGAGGCTTTCTCTGTACTTTCTGCTCAATTTTGCTGTGAATCCAAAATTGCTCTAAAATGTCTATGAAAAAAAATGCACCTTCAGTCATTAAATCCTCGAGGTGAGCACTGTCCTATGTTCTTTTACTTCAGGGAAGAAGTAAATGAAAAACTTCGAGACACAGCTGATGGGACCTTTTTGGTACGAGACGCATCTACTAAAATGCACGGTGATTATACTCTTACACTAAGGTGAGTCAGAGAACGGAGGGAAATGGGTTTGGTTTGAGTTGACATGAAAATACATTTCTCTAAAGAAAATTATAATGCCATGATATTTATATTGCATTTACAGGAAAGGAGGAAATAACAAATTAATCAAAATATTTCACCGAGATGGGAAATATGGCTTCTCGGACCCATTAACCTTCAACTCTGTGGTTGAATTAATAAACCACTACCGGAATGAATCTCTAGCTCAGTACAATCCCAAGCTGGATGTGAAATTACTTTATCCAGTATCCAAATACCAGCAGGTAATCAAATACTCATGTTATTATTTAAATAAGATACTTTCAATGCTTAGAAACATTTTGAAGCAGATGAATTACATATAATGAAATTTGAAAAGCTTTGTACTTGTAATCACTAAGTTATAATTTTAGAGTAGCTGAATAAAATACTCTAAGGATTTTTCCATGTCAGATATTTTGTTAAATGGGTCTTAATTGATTAAATACCTTATTAACTGAGTTTCTTTTTCTTCTCTCTAATTCTTCTAGGATCAGGTTGTCAAAGAGGATAATATTGAAGCTGTAGGGAAAAAATTACATGAATATAACACTCAATTTCAAGAAAAAAGTCGGGAATATGATAGATTATATGAGGATTATACCCGTACTTCCCAGGTGAGTTTTCTGTGAAATCAGATTAAAATTTTAGAAGTCTTAGTTATTAAAACCTAACACGTATTATAGTCAGCTTCTAAGAAAGGTTGAGTTTTTTGCAGTAATGTGGGGTTGAAAGATCACTTGTGAATTATTATTGATTATTCTAGTAATGTATTCATTGTATCTCTAAACCTTGGAAATGAAACCTATAAGTATCAGAATAATACATTCAGTTCACAAGATAAATGAAGAGGTGACTTTGAGTTCCACATTGATTTGGCATAATTCCTGAATGAAGAATTCTTTTCAGATTGGAAATCCCACAGACTTGGCCAATCTCAGAAAGAGAAATTTAGCCATGATAGGTTCTGCCATGAAGAACAGGCAATGCTAATGCTTCCTAGAGTCTTCTCTGGGCCTGTGTGTCTGGGACCAGTAGAGGGCAACAGGGGTGTCATAAGTAAACCGCTGATGAAGTGGTGGTGGTGGTTTAGCAAAGATGGAAACTTAGGAAATTGTCCAGCAGTCATCTTCCATAGACTGGAATAATTCCCAGAGGAAATGTGTGCTTTCGTGACAGTATTGTGGTGGGTTTTATGCATCAGAGCCCCACCTTGCTAACAAAGCATACTAGGGCTGTTTCACACTAAGAAATGACCTGCTCTATGAGAGGTGTGATGTGGTCTTACTAATACTGTGTTGCAGGAAATCCAAATGAAAAGAACAGCTATTGAAGCATTTAATGAAACCATAAAAATATTTGAAGAACAGTGCCAAACCCAGGAGCGCTACAGCAAAGAGTATATCGAAAAGTTTAAACGTGAAGGCAATGAGAAAGAAATACAAAGGTTGGTCAGCCGGGTGTTTCACCTTTGTCCCTGTGCAAGAAGTAACCAGAACCTTCTAAACTGCTCGGAAATGATCTGGATTTCTGGTGCTTTGCATAATTAAAAGAGAAAGCATTCCCTCCCTGGGGAGTACAGCTGGCCCCACACTGAGCCTTTTCATAGACGGGGAAACTTCACGATGAACTCAGGTGCTCACAGATGCGTTTCTCTTGCCTGTAGGATTATGCATAATTATGAAAAGTTAAAGTCTCGAATCAGTGAAATTGTGGACAGCAGGAGAAGGCTGGAGGAAGACCTGAAGAAGCAGGCGGCCGAGTATCGGGAGATCGACAAGCGCATGAACAGCATTAAACCCGACCTCATCCAGCTGAGGAAGACGAGAGACCAGTACTTGATGTGAGTGCTGGGACGGGACCCCGTGAGGGGATGGTTGGTAATGGCTGAGGTCAAGGACACGTCCTGAACGCATTTCTCTTTCCGAAACTGTCTTGCAGGTGGTTGACCCAGAAAGGTGTTCGGCAGAAGAAGTTAAACGAGTGGCTGGGCAATGAAAATACTGAAGAGTAAGTTGTGACCGCAGATGGGAGGCAGTGAGCGATTGTTTTCATTTCAGGAAAATGCATGACTTGCTTTATTTAGAGAATTTTACTGAGTTTGGAACATCTTGCAGGAGAAAATGTATAACTCGGTCTCATTATCCAGAATTTTTTAAAGGGAAAGTGTAGGGAAGGAAGATACAGATCTATTTTTTCCCCATAATGCTCTAGAGTGACACATTGTCCATAATGCTATTCCCGAATGTCTGAAAAATCCCAACATAATTTTGGAACAATTAGGGAAAAAAGGACCCAATTAGGTTTAGTATATTTTTGAAGCTGAAGCATATGTTTTGTTCGAATTATTTGAAAACTGGCAGTCCTCCTGGTCCATCAATTTCCTGATCTAAACTGGACAAACAGGATTGTTTACTACCTTCCTCTCTGCCCTGAGCGGGCCCTGAGCTTGGCTGCCGCCTGGAGAACAAGAAGGGTATACCTTACCCTGGAGAACAAGAAGGGTATACCTTACCCTGGAGAACAAGAAGGGTATACCTTACCCTGGAGAACAAGAAGGGTATACCTTACCCTGGAGAACAAGAAGGGTATACCTTACCCTGGAGAACAAGAAGGGTATACCTTACCCTGGAGAACAAGAAGGGTATACCTCACGCGCCGACTGTCCGGGAGCTTACAGGGGCTTCCCCGGGAGGGGAACAAACTCCGGCCTGGGAGGTGGGGTGAGTCGGCCCTGCTGTGGGGGAGCAGAGACCAGGAGCAGGGAGGAGAGGCGCAGGCCCGGGGCTCCCATGCACTTCTCTGAGAATCCTCTCCCCCTCCGCAGCCAATACTCGCTGGTGGAAGACGACGAGGACTTGCCCCACCACGACGAGAAGACATGGAACGTCGGGAGCAGCAACCGGAACAAGGCCGAGAACCTGCTGCGGGGGAAGCGGGACGGCACTTTCCTGGTCCGGGAAAGCAGCAAACCCGGCTGCTACGCCTGCTCTGTGGTGTATGTGTCTCCCGCTGGCTGCTGCTCCTGTCACTCAGCTCGGGGGGGTCATTCCGCCAGCCTGGGGGCGGGGCGAGCTCCAATCTGGACACTCGTGGAACAGCAGTGTAGGAGAGGAAGTAAAATTAAAGTCTGTCTAATAGAGTCTGGTAGAAAGAAACCTGCTTCTTAGTCGGAAGATTGGGGTTTGGGTCCCAATTCAGCAACTTCTTTGTCTTTTTTTATTTTTCCATCTTTTTTTTCCCTTTATTGATTTTAGAGAGAAAGGAAAGGAGAGAGAGAGAGAGAGAAACATCAGTGAGAGAGAACATCGATTAGCCGCCTCCTGCTTGCCCCCCACTGGGGATCGGGCCCACAACCTGGGCTTGTGTCCTGACCGGGAATCGAACCGGCGACCTCTTGGGGCGTGGGTCGATGCTCAACCACTGAGCCACACCGGCCCGGCTCGTCTTTAAAATGGAAATAGCAGTGCTTGCTTTTTATTTTTGCCTCCCAAGGCTAGTATAGTTAGAATCGGAGGTAACTCATGTGAGAGCACACCCACAGGCAAAGAAGTCCCCATCAGGACCAGGTCAGAACAAGAACAAGGAACCCTGGCCACTGTCCTTGAGATAATCACACCCAGGAGAAGACGTTTTTTTGTTTTGTTTTGTTTTTAATCCTCACCCAAGGATATTTTTCCATTTTTTGTTCAGATAGAGTGGGAGGGAGAGAGAGGAAGGGAGAGAGAGAGAGAAACATCGACGTGAAGGGACACATCGAGTGGCTGCCACCCGCACGACCAACCAGGGCCGGGGACAAACTGCAACCGAAGTACGTGCCCTTAGCGGGAACCGAACCCGGGTCTCTCCGGACCGCAGGCCGACGCTCTAACCGCTGAGCCAAACTGCCCAGGGCAGGAGAAGACATTTTTGTCCTGCAGCATGTTTTTTTTTCTTTTTCTTTCTTAACCATCCAGGGAGTGCTCTGAGTGAACAGGGAGTTTGGGGTCACTGACGTCATTTCAGAGCAGCGAGGTTCTAAAAGCACATTCTGCTCCATGAGCTCCCAACATTAGAGCAGAGAGGCAGCCCTACAGGAAGGAGGCATGAGAAGAGCTTCGAGTAAGGACAAGGGACGAGAGTAGATGCCAGGAGGGAGAGACACGTAGACACCTGAAGCCAGCCTGTCAGTCACTAACCACACCGACTCACCGGCACACAGCGCGGGGCCGTGCTCACTGCGCTCCAGGCGATCCGTCAAGCACATCATCTCATTTCCCAAAGCCACCCTGTGACACACGCATTACTGTCCGGTTCCTCTTAAACCCGTGTAAAGATGAGGATCCTGCAGCTCAGTGAAGCTGGGTGATGTACCCAAGTCCCTCAGCCAGTCAGTGACAGAGCCGCGAGTCTGCCAGGTAGCCTGGGACTGTCCCCACATGGAGCAGCCAGGGTACTTGTTGGATGAGGATGATTTTGTTAAAGACACCTTGCAGCGTCACGATTTGTCCCGGTCAAGGTCAAACGCGTGTGTTCTCTCTCCTCTCCAGGGTGGACGGCGAGGTAAAGCATTGTGTCATAAACAAAACGGCGACCGGCTACGGCTTCGCCGAGCCCTATAACTTGTACAGCTCCCTGAAAGAACTGGTGCTACATTACCAACACACCTCCCTCGTGCAGCACAACGACTCCCTCAACGTCACGCTAGCCTACCCCGTGTATGCACAGCAGAGGCGATGAAGGGGCCCTGGTCCTCCTGAAGTTCAACCACCCTGAGGCCTCTGGAAAGCACAGGGCTCCCCTCCGGCCTGCCCTGTGAATTGAGCTGCGGAAATCCAGCCGTCTGTCTTCAGATGGGACTCGCGCTTTCGACAAAAAAGCGGTGGGAAGACATGCAGCCCAGCACTGTGCGATGACCAGACGTTGCTAACCTGGAGTGCTTATCCTTCCTTTCCTTTGTTTTTTTTTTTATTTTTTTATTTTTTATTTTTTGGTTTAATTTAAAGCCACCACAACACACAACACAAAGAGAAAAATAAATGCAAAAATCTCTGCGTGCAGGGACAAAGAGGCCTTTAACCATGGTGCTCGTTCATGCTTTCTGAAGCTTTACCAGCTCACGTTGGGACCTTGTAGACCAGAGGATGGACGGGGCTGCGGAGCCCTGGCTTGGGAATGCTCGGTCCAGCCTGGTTGAGCCTGGTGTTGCTGTGCACGGTGGACCCAGACACTTCGCACTGTGGATTATCTTACTTTCTAACGAATGATATGTAGCAGAAAGGCACTTCCGCCCACAAGGGACGTTTTGGGAGAACGTCAGCTCGTGTACGTTCAGAGGAACTTCTGTTGGAGCCAAGTGCCAGGAAGTGTTTTGTTTAAAAACTTTTCAACGAAAAGCAAAACCCACCAATGGAAAAAATGGAACTTGGAAAACAGGACTTAAAATGACATTCAGTATATAAAATATGTACATAATATTGGATGACTAACTATCAAATAGATGGATTTGTATCAATACCAAATAGCTTCTGTTTTGTTTTGCTGAAGGCTAAATTCACAGCGCTATGCAATTCTTAATTTTCATTAAGTTGTTATCTCAGTTTTAAATAAGCTTCCCGTGCCCCCATTTTTGTTCTTGAAAATACTTTTGTCCCTGATTTTTTGTGTTAATATTCATTTTGTTTATAAACTTTTACTTTTTTAAAAAAAAAGAAGAAATGTACAGGATGCCAGTTTGAAAAAAAAAAGGCTTCAGAATTAAAACTATGAAATATTTTACAGTTTTTTCTTGTACAGAGTACTTGGCTATTAGCCCAAGGTTAAAAAGTTCGTAACAGATTTTTTTGGACTAAATGTTTTGTTGGGCAGGGCCTGATAAGCTTCAAAGCTGCTTTATTCAATAAAAAAAGAGAAAGATATATGAATATGACAAAGTATCTCTGAGTTCAACAATGTTGTTTCAAGACTCTTAAAATACGGTACCTGGCAATGTTTGTTTCATAAAGAATTGTGAACTTCTTGAATCTGGGGCGGGGGATGGAGCAAAGGGATGTACAGGTGGGTGGGGGGGGCGAGGTGGAATGCACTTTCTCTTTCTCATGATTAGTAGGTGACTGCAAAGTGGAGTTGCTTATACTTCAGTCTTTCCCACTTTGATCTGCTAGGACTCTAACCGCCAGCTGGTCAAATATTTCCGTTCTTAGGAAGGACCAGTGTCCCACCCTTGTTCGGAACACTGATTTCAAGGTATAATCGCTACATTTAGAAAACGTCTCTTTTTAACATTATACTACCATTACAACCAACCAACATTCATTTTAGAAAAAGCATAATCTGAAAAAAGATGTTTCTCTGGCTGTTTATTTTGCTAGCTTCCCATTCACGTTAGATCATAAAGCAAATGGGCACGATCGTAACTGTTACTGCTCTGGGCTCTGTGGAGCTCGTTAAAGTCATGGCCATTTCAGGAATCATAATAGCAGTTCTTCTCATTCATCCAAATAATGGTGTGTGTGATACTTCACTGTGGGGGAAAGAAAGGGGTTGTCAGAGTCATCTTTGCAATTTAGGGCATGAGTGAGAGGTCTCCCTGATTCACATATGCAAAAGCCTTTCTGTTCAGTGGGACTTGTGCATGTATTGGGAGGAATAAAGGATAATCATAACCATGGTCACTATGCTGGTAGATTAAAGTAAAATCTTTACCATTTCACTTTTTCCTTCTCAGTATTAGATTCACCCACACCTTTATTTGTCTTTCCTTCAAATATTGGGGTGAGGGGTTTTTGTTTTTTTCATGTTGTTCCTTTTAAAATTATTTTGAAAGAATCAGTCTAGCAGCTGACTTAACTGTAGAATGTATTTTTTTTTTTCTTTTTTCATGAAGCTACTCATATCAAGAGCAATAGTCAGTCTTACAGCAGACTGTCAGCCCTCAAACTTGACTGTACCGATCTGACCATCTCTCCCTCTCATCGCCAGACAATTGATGGTTTTCCTGGTTTGAGTCTGTGAGTGTCTAGTTTAAGGCTATCCTTCCATGTCACAGAATTCTAACAAATTAGTTCATAGTAGTTTATAAACTAGAGTGGTTTTGTTCTTGTTTTGTTTTCTGTGTATTTTTTTGGTAGCACGTCCAAGTATGCTATTAAGTATAGATACTTTTCATTTAATTTCTAAAATATAAGATCTGAAATGGAATGTTTTATTAACAGCTGCATTTCATAAAGCATTTTGTTAGTGTTTTTGTTTCAACGCTTAGAGGGTGACATGGTATTCGGCATCTGCCTTATTTTTGCATCTCACAAGCACAATCGATTTTACATTACACCTGTGATGTTCCACCTGTGCAGGTGCCTTGACTACGTGTAGCATGCCCACCACCTATGTCCTTGCAGATGTTTGGCCAGCAGGGCTCTGGGTTTCTTCGGACGGTCGTCTCCTAACGACATCGTCTCCGTGGCTCACGAGTATGAGTGGGTATAGCAGAGGCACTCTGACACACACTTACCCATGCATTGATTTACCCCACCCAAGACAGCTTCCGAAACAGGAAAGCCAGACGCTAAGCTGCAGAGAGGCTGACGGGGCTCCACAGGTGGGAGCACTGGGACCTGCTGTTAGACACGAGAGAGAAATTACAACCACACGAAAAGTGTGTGTTTGCAACAGCTAACAACTTCACAGCCCTTGATATATGTATATATGTATATGTGCATGGACTGTGTTTCCAGTACACCTTTCAGCCAAAACAGATCCACAGTCGTTGAGTTCAAGTGCATAACAAGCAAGTGTCTAGTACAGTTCTTGTTTATGTGTATGGGTTGCATTTTTTTTCCTGTGAATTTGCTTTGTTTCGTCTTATAAAGGTGAAAATTGTTCACAAGTGAAGTGAGAAGTTCATAATTCTTTGGCTTGCTTTCTGTTTTTAAAAGTGACTCCTTTTGGGAAGCTGGTCTGGATGACTTGCTTCACTTAGAAATCCTTGTTTTCGATGTGTCAAGTCAAAAAATGTGTTTATGTGAGCTGTCTCTGTAGGGAACCAATTGCTTTGTCACATAGCTGGTGATGAACTAGTCACGTGTTTGGGAAGTCCTACTGATGTTCCTTAATGGGAGAAAATGTCTGCTGGTTTTCACAACTGTGCTTTTGCTGTGCGTGGTGTCCAGGTCAGCTGGAGCGCGGGCCCTGGGAGCTGAGGTCAGGGCCACTTAGGGAAGGGGCAGTTTAAAGCACAATGCCTCACATGGGACAAAGTTCCAAAATGCCAAATTCTTATTTTTAAAAAATCTAGTTATATAAAATACTAGTGTGAGTAGGGAGGGAACAGAATTGGGTTCATTGGAAACACTATCCAACTTAACATTAAATTTGTCATCATGAGATAGCATTAGCTACCAGGATGCTGCTATTGAAAAAAACAAAAACAAAAAACTCACTTATATGTGTGTATTTTTTAAAGCTACGATCTGTTCAATGTTTTTACAAATCTGTTTATATGACATTGTTAAAATAAAGTTGGTCTTTTGACGAGAGGGAGGATGTGATGGTCTGTTGTAATTTTGCCTTTACAAGGCAACTGGGGTGGGGGGCGGGGGACTATGCCTCCTTGACATTTGGTTCAAGCTATAGATTTAATGGAGCTATGTCTTGTTGTTTTAAGTTGCTTTAATGCATTGTATTAGGTCTTCAAACAGAATAAAGGTTGTTTTGAAACTTAAGTGGTGGTTTGAAATTTCAATGATCACCTAAGGAATATTTCTCAAACCACTCTCTTGCCTTTTGGGTTAATAAAAGTTGCTGTTTCTATGGTCTCGTTTTTTTGAAGTGAGAAGGGCATTAAGAGTGGTCACATGGCCCTGGCCGGTGTGCTTCAGTTGCTTGGGCCTCATTCCGTGCACCTAAGTGTCGCCAGTTCGATCCCCAGTCAGGGTTTGTAAGGGAAGCAACCGATGGATGTTTCTCTCTCACATCAATGTTTATCTCCCCCGCAACCCATCCAAAGTCAATTTAAAAAAACATTTTTAAAAATGAGTGGTCACACGAATGATGGCTTAGTGTTGCTTACGTAATTACACTATATCTTTAATGATGAAATGCCTCTAGGTGGTATCTCAAGGCATGTTCTTGCTGCAAGAAAGGATAGGAATGCCCACTGTCCCTCAGTGCCTCCACCACCCATCTCCAGACTTTCAGAATTGCTCTACAAACTACGGTTTGTGAAGGAATCGGTGAGTCTGCCCTCCAGCCCACGGTGCGGGGACAGCACGAGGCACCGCAGCACGGAGAGGGTGGCGGGAGGTTGTAGACAGAGCTACAGCGCTCCAGATTCGGGCTTCACCGTCGAGCATCTAGTCAGTATGTACATAAACTATTCTGAAGCCGAAAGAACGTTCCCGTTTCATTGTCCTTGTTGAGTGAATTTATGACAGTGCCACTTTGCATGTATATGGTGCTTTGCCTGTAGGCACAGTGAGAGGCCTAGACATGAAGACATGGTCTAGTGCCCTGTTTTAGCTCAGCAGTTAGAGCGTCGGCCCATGGACCATAGAGTTGCGGGTTCGATTCTGGTCAAAGGCACGTACCTCGGTTGCGGTTTGATTCCTAGCCCTGGTTGGGTCGTGCGGGATGCAACCAATTGATGTGTCTCATGTCGATGTTTCTCTCCCTCTCTCTGTCTCCCTCCTGCTCTATCAGAAAAAAATCAATGGAAAGATAACTTGGAGTGAGGATTAAAAAAAAAAAAGACATGGTCTAGTGATGGGGATGAGAGGGTCACAGAAGTAATTAGGGCAACAGTGAGTGACATTCTCTGTGTATGGCAATACCTCTGAGGTTCGTTTCCTGCTTTTCTCCTGCTCTGTTCTGTACCAAAGAGAACTATATTCCCAGTATCTTTTGCCTTATGGCTTCCAGGGAGTAAGCCTCCCACCGGCTCCCACTCCTCAGACAGACCCTCTCTGGGCCTGAGCGGCCTCACTCCGCTTCCTCTCAGCAGTAGCCTCTGGCTTCTGAGCTCTGGCAAGGTTTCCCATCTAGCCTGAGGTGGGAGGTAGGTAGCTGCTTTCTGCTGTTGCTAAACCTCTGGTTTTTCTCATTACCCTGTTTGGTTTCTGAACCCTTCCCTCATCTGGGTAACTATTTCTCTCTATTCAACTCCCTCTGTAAGAGCGAGAGTCATTTCTCTTTTTCCTGACTGGTCTCTGAGTATTTGATGTACCAAGTGGTTTTTATCCATCAACCACTTCATACGCATGATCTGATTTCACCCTTCCACAGTTTCGTTAGGAGATAATATCCCCACATTCTGCAGGGGAGAAAGCTGAAGCTGAGATGTTAATGACTTAAGAGCATGCAGCAGTGAGAGCCAGGAGAGAGCCTCTCACCCTGTGCTGGGACAGCCGTGCAGTGGAAAAGGCACTAGGAAGTTCAAGGTAAAGTTCACCAGTCACTCTTCCTGCGGGGACCTAAGCATGTGGCTCTCGATTGGTGGACAGTGCACACGTGGCCAATGGTGAATGGCAGGAAATGGCACGGGCTTGCTTTATCCCAGTGGGTCCCGAAGTGAGGTCCCGACTGACAGTATTAGCGTCATCACCGCTTGGAAACCTGGGAGAAGTGCAAATTCCAGGGCCTCACCCCTGGCCCACTAACTCTCAAATCAGGACCCCGCAAATCTGTTTCAACAAGCTTTGCCGGGGATTTTAATGCGTACTAAAGTTTGAGACTGACTACTGAAGGTCACTTGATTGTTGAAATAGTACATTGATAAATAATATAAATATACTTTATATATAATTTATGCTCAATTGTATAGACTCTATACAGGAAAGAAATAGACTGATTACAGTGTAGGAGGTTCAGGCTGGTCTTAGATCTGTCTTTACCCAGCTGTGAAGATGTTACCCAACTCCATGTCTGTGAAATAACGTCAGGAGTCCGGACAGTCCCGGACTGCATCTGGAGCACACACTGTGATGGGTGCGCAGAATGCGGGACTCACCCCCAGTTCTCCACCTACGATCTGACCA